CAAATGGAATCATATTTGAGTTTTAAGTTCGTAAATATTTTACACCTGATGATGGTTTTATAAAAACTGAAACATGTTGTGTAAAAGATGTTCCAAAATGTAAATCGATCAATCGATATGGAACATCAATGATATTTTATTATCTTAATTATAAGAAATTTTAAATATTGTGATAAGACGGATTAAAATAAATAATTGTTTGAATTTGGTTTAGCTGACCCCGAGGTGGCCTCCTGAATATACTCAGTGGAGTAACACCAGTACATCATTCACCCGGATTCAAGGCTCCACTATTTTGGTTGTATTGCTTTTTTCACTGGCAAACACCCTAGTAGAAGGAGGTGGCAGCCTCCAGCACAACTGGGAGTCAGCTGAGAAAAGGATTAAATTAAATGAATTTATAAAAATGTGAAGAATGTACTCATGGAAGTCCACGCAAGACCTTTAGGAAGACAGACTGGGGGTCAACAAGACTAGACAGAGTCAAACGGGGTATTACTGGCTGCACATGAGGAGTGATATCAGGAGAATATGCCAAGAGTGATACACTCCCGCAGGAAGCTGGGTCATCAGACCCAGGACCCAGAAACTGATGCATCCCGGTACATAGGGACACCATTCCAGACGGTCAACATTGACACTGTACGACTCCACCTGGACAGCAAAAAAGACAAATTACAGAATCAATATTACTTAATCACGGTTCCTCACTAACAGCTAAAACAGACTTCTTATCCTTATACAGTTCATCAAACTGGAGAACTGGTCTTGGTACAGAAATTCATACTGCATTTAGTACTACCAGTAACATTGCCAGGCAAATGAAGCCACATAAACATCAAACCAATCTTTAAGAACTATCACATTTACCAACTAGTTTGCCAAGATTGCCCAAAAAGTACTTGGGCCAAACTGGGCATATTCTCAAACAATTTCACAGTGAATATAACTTGCATAAAAACTGAATTGAAATATTCTAAGCATACTCCTGATACTGGACACTCCTATGGCTCTGCTCAAAACATAAGAAACATCCTGTCACTACTGAAGTCAAATAGCTCAAATTGTTTGCGTGCCACAAGTTTTCAAAACCCCGAAGGGACTTTGTGGACACACTGTACTATTCATAGTGATCAATATTGTCTACTGATAAATAAGTGAATTTAAGATGGATGTGAATATTTTGAAGAACCCAAAATATAAAAGTAAGGCATTTCCCTCAAATGGTGCCATGAAGTATGTTCTGCTGCAAACAGAAAGCTGAATACATGTAATTAAGGAATTAACTGAAACAGTACAATTTGTCAAGATATTCCATGCCAAACATGCAATAAAATTATTAACCATTGAGGCATTAGTTATTTACATTTAAATATACTGAGATTTACCATGTCTACCAACTGCTGAGTGATGATGTTTCGTCTGAATATGTCAGTGTGTATAATTGACCGCAAGGTAACCATTAAGACTATAGGTGGTTTTCACTTTCATGATGGAACCTAATAAGTGTTCAGTTATGAATAAATGCAACTGGGGTAGGCATCAAAGCAACAACAGGTAACTAAACAATTGTGCATGTGAAATATGTTTAATTTATTTTGGTCACAGATCATAACACAAGCCTGCAAATTATGTGTGACACATTTGTTATATAATAGCATGATGTAAAATTTTGAGGTTATGTGTGCCAAGTTTTAATATGGTAATAATCAGTACTCATAAAAACGATACACTGTAATGAACCTTAGAACTGCAAAATTTTATATATATAGTTACCACTATCCTTGCCACATAGACTGCAGAATTTAAAGCAAAAATACATCTCAAGTTGTTTCCTAAAAGGCTTGCATAATAAAATGGTCACAAATGTATGTTTGTGTTGACATTCCAATTCCTTAATATTATCAATGAATAAAGATGGTCAACTGGGATTTGATTAGAGGTTAGGTATAGGAATTGCCATCTCTTCTAATAAACAGTGAAAAAATAAAGGAACGTCAATAATTTTCTTCTGACAATTACTGAAAGCTTAAATTTAAATCAAGCAGGGACAGAAGATGCTGTTTCATTTTTAAAAGCTACATTTCTGTAAAATTACCTGGCCTTAATATTCCAACCCCTGGAACTGAGATGAAAAGTAATACAGTCCTTCAAATCAAAAAACCCATCAGGTTATGATGAAATAAGAAGTAAAATTTTGAAAGCTTGTTCAGCGTTAATTAGTTGTCCATTAACCCACATTTGTAATCATTCACTGTATACAGGCATTTTCCCGGACCGCCTTAAAAATACCAGTAGTACGACCGCTGTAAAAGAAAGATGCCAACACTAGTGTGATATACTACAGGCGAATTTCACTTTTAACTACTTTTTCCTAAAGTACTTGAGACGATTATGTTCAGTAGATTAAGGCATCATATGCATACTAACAACATATTGGTCCCAGAACAATTTGGCTTCAGGAAAGGTGTATCCACTGAAGATGCAGTATTCAAACTAACACACAATGTGCTAAAAACTATTAAACAAAAAATGCAATTTGGAGGAATTTTCTGTGATTTAGCGAATGCTTTTGAATGTAAATCATGAAATTTTGTTGGATAAATTACATTTTTATGGCATTCAAGGAATAGCAGCGCAATGGTTCAGATCCTATCTAACAGATAGAAAACAAAAGGTCGAAGTAAAATCACCTAAAACAATCAGAATTTTTTCTCAAACTGGGGAACAATAAAACATGAAGCTCCCAAAGGGTCAATTTTAGGGCCCTTGCATTTTATAATATACATAAATGACCTTCCTCCAACAATAAATACTTTAACAGAACCCATAATATTTGCTGATGACACAAGTGTCATAATTTCTAATAAAAATTTTGATGATTTCTGTTCAACATCAAACATAGTTCTGTCTCATATGAGTAAATGGTTTACTGCTAACAAGCTGGCCCTAAATCTAGATAAAATGAATATAATAAAATTTATAACAAATAACTCACCACAATGTGCTTTAAGTATTGGTTATAATGGGAAGTATATACAAGAGTCAATAAACACAAAATTCTTGGGTTTGCAAATTGATAATCCCCTAAATTGGACAAATCAAATTGTTAAACTGATACCTAACTTAAGTGGAGCATGTAACGCAGTTAGATCTCTGTTGTGTATCAGCAACACTGACACTGACTCTATAATGAAGTGTGGAACAAATTTGGGGGTAATTAATCAAACAGCAAAAATATTTTCATTTTACAAAAGAAAATTATTAGATTATTGGCTGGTGTAAAACCTAGAAATTCATGTAGAAGTCTATTTAAGAGATTAGAGAACTTATCTCTTCCTTGTGAATGCATATTCTCAATAATGAACTTTATTGTAAATAACCAAGAAATTTTCCAAACTAATTCTGCTGTACACAGTGTCAACACAAGGAATAAAAATCAACTTTGTAGACAAGTTGCCAACCTCTCATGCTTTCAGAAGAGTGCATATTATGCAGGAATCAAAATTTTCAACAGTCTACCATCAAATCTCACAAGTCTTGTAAATAAGAAGGAGCAATTTAAGGTAGCATTAAAAAGATACTTAATTACACACTCCTTTTACGTTGTTTACAAATAAGTGATAAATTTTCTTCTGTGTGTAATGGGTAGATTTATTTGTAACTTATCATTTCTCTAGGTGAATACTTTGTTTTGTATTATGTGAAATTTATATAATAGTACGAATTGTACTTTATAATATGTATTGTATTATTATCATTATGACTTTTTCCACATCCTATTGTCGTCTGTCTTATGGAACCATATGTATGTATGTTCTTTTAAGATCTGACGTCCACATATACTCCAGTGTAGTATGTCCTCCATCCCTGGCAATGAAATATGCAGAATATACACTCCATCATAACCTCAAATTCTTCTTGCATACATTTTATGTTTCCACAGATTTTCACATCTTGCAATATATACATTTTTAAAGTAATTTGGATTTAAAGATTGTTCCTTTGTAAAATTATATTTGGGATATGTGAAATATGGAAACATTTGGTAATCATACACTCTGAAAAATGGCAAATGAAAGCTATAAGGTAGTGCTTAAATAACTTAATTCAATTAATTAAATACTAGATGGTGCCTTGTTTAATTCTTTTATCACATGTAAGGAATGATTTTAGTGCAGACGAATATTTTACTTCCTGTTTGTTTCAGTATGTATAAGATTAGTACTTTTAATACTGCAAAGACAATACAGGAACAGTAATATTTCTCTTACCACACATTACTGTAGTTAGAGTTTGCCATGGGCTTAAAACATGCTGTATGCGTTTGGGAAATGGCAAGCCTACCGTTGAGAAATACGCGGTCATTCAACTGGTCATAAAATTTCCCACCTATGTGGGAAAATCAGTACTCCCGAAGACTTTAATTCTACATGCATATAGTTGGCCATGTATGGTTGGGGTGCCCTCGTACCACCGCAAGCCGCGTCTTCAAATTGCGGATAGAGGGACGGCCTCCAGGTATGGAGGTCAGCTGCGAATATATTGAATAAGCAGTCGTGGACAGCCGTTGAGGGGTGGTCCTCCAGCTTGGGGGTTGGGCGTAAGGCAAACAACCTTTCGCCGTAAAAAGAGAGTTGCTACGAACACTTTAACTAAGCCTCGGACCAGGACGGACTCTTTGGCACGACCATGGCAATTAAAAAAGGATATGAGGTTTGGGAGATAGAAATTGAAGGAGACTGGATTTTGTTGGCCCAGGACAGGGTCCGGTGGACGGCTTTGGTTAATTCGGTGATGAACCTTTGGGTTCGGTAAGCCATCTAGTCAGTTATGCATATAGTAGGCCGTGGTTGATCTAGCTGTTATTATTTGGAGTCCATTGTTGTAGGAGAAACAAGTATTGTTGCATTACAATAGAAATGTGTTATAACAATCCATTGTTTCCAATAAACAGTTCCTATTTGCATAGCCATAGGAACGTGTTGTATTAGTGAGGACATACTTTTGTTCTAAACATGTTCGGAAATGCAGATTTTGGTAAGTAGAATAGTGAATATTTAAAATCATTATAATATGTTTGAGTGCAACCATGTTCTGTAAACGCTTATGAGAATGTGATTGTGTATGGAAAATTACTTGTTAAGTATCAGATTTCCATCAGTTCCGAACCTATAAACAGAAGTCGGAAATGCGTTTCAAATTTTCATTTTCGGAATTTATCTTGTAAGGACAAAGTAAAAGTGATTTAGTTCTACGTTGCCAATATAAATTACTAAATTGCTATAATGGCTTCAAATAGCTGTGACCATGGCAATTGAAAAGGGATATGAGATTTGGGAGATAGGAGTTGAAGGAGACTGGATTTTGTTGGCCCAGGACAGGGTCCGGTGGACGGCTTTGGTTAATTCGGTGATGAACCTTCGGGTTCAGTAAGCCATCTAGTCAGTTATGCATATAGTAGGCTCTGGTTGTTCTAACTGTCATTATTTGGAGTCCATTGTTGTCGGGAAACAAGTATTATTGCATTACCATAGAAATGTGTTATAACAATCCATTGTTTCCAATAAACAGTTACTATTTGCATTGCCATAGAAACGTGTTGTATTAGTGAGGACATACTTTTGTTGTAAACATTTTCGGAAATGCAGATTTTGGTAAGTAGAATAGTGAATATTTAAAATCATTATAATATGTTTGAGTGCAACCATATTCTGTAAACGCTTATGAGAATGTGATTGTGTATGGAAAATTACTTGTTAAGTATCAGATTTCCATCAGTTCCGAACCTATAAACAGAAGTCGGAAATGCGTTTCAAATTTTCATTTTCGGAATTTATCTTGTAAGGACAAAGTAAAAGTGATTTAGTTCTACGTTGCCAATATAAATTACTAAATTGCTATAATGGCTTCAAATTGCTGTGAGTTTCAATTTTAGAGAACTATGTGGTCAATTAATATGATTCGTGTAATTTGTTGTATCTCGGGATAATACAAACAACGTTTGGAGGTGGCAAATTCCGTTTGCGTCATACTGCAACTATGTTGCCAGTAACAAAATCCAGACACCCGTAAAGATTTAAAAATCCAATACCACAATTTTACCTCTTGTTATGCATTGGGTTTGAATCACTGTCTCTGTGGTTAAGAAAATAAGATAGACTGGTGATGCCCAAGGACATTCAGATGTAGAGGAGAATATTCTTGGACTTTGGCGTGATAAAGCAGCTGAAGTATTGACGAATTTGCAAGTTAAAATAAAGAATGGAAATTTTTTGAGGAGATTACTATCCATTTTCCAAGGAGGACCACAATAACAGGCGAGCTTAAGTATTGCAATCAATGGTGTAATATTTTCTGTTGCAGCTGTCTCGTTTCTAAGGTGCCCGAAGGCCGTTATAGTTGACAAGATCGCCTTCCAGATAAAGTGTCTGGAGCAAGCATGCACTGCGGTCCTACCGAGCTATTTCTGTCCTGTTAGTGTGGTTTGGTTCTCGGCTCTGATATTGTTTGGATTATACGTTTACAAGGTAAGTACGAGGTAAATATTTCTGATCGAATTTGTGGGTTGGTAGGAGAGCACAGAGTAGTAGTCCAGTCAGCAGTACTTTCATTGGTCCAGGTTTTTAGTTGGCACGACTGGAAGGAGAGAGAATTATGCAATTTTGTTCGGAGAAACTTTGAAAGCGGCAGCTTAGTGCACAGAAGTAATGTAGGTTAATGCTTAAATAAGAATAAATACGAAACGCGATGTGAAGTTAACTTCTATGACACCTGAAGATTTATTGACGTGTTTTGACTATCATAAGGTAGGTAACCTAACGTTCGGCTAAATAACTCAGGAATATTATAGGAGGGCACATGCCCCAATAACCCAGAAGACAGTCATCGTAATTCTCGTCAGTGTGAGTGCCATAAATTGTGAGGTATTTCGTGGTTTTCTTAAGTGTCTTCAGTCATGTGCTGTGATAGTATCGTTAATTAGCTGATGATTGTTTTTTTCCAATTCATCATTTGGCACTATGTAGTTTTATGCACATAAAACATTGTCTGAGTGCATATTCATAGATATTTATGTTGTAATACGTTATTTGTGGACATATGTTCTGAACGGCTTCTCTGGCGAAGGTAGAATCTGTCTACTATAAATTAATCTGAGTGATCTGGGCTGACGTATGTTGACCAATGTATGTATTTCCTTTACTTTGCATAATGTATAGGCCTATGCACATATATAATTTTCTTGAACTAATGCAGATGTGTATATTACAGTCTTTTTCCTCCGTGAAAGAAGAACAAAATTAATTATTCCATGTAAAATCTTTGTGGCATTACTAAATAGATACCAAATATTGTCAAAGTTAATTCTCTCACGACAGAATGAGATGAATAGAGCAATGTACAAATGGTAGTGTTTTTTTAACGTAAATACGTCTATACGGAAGGGTCATTCGGCAAAAAAGTGTAACTAAAAAGTGACAGGAAAATGTGTAAGATCCGATAACAATGGTTCCCTAGGGAACGTCATCTGTTTACTCGGCATTGTTGTTACCAAGGAAACGTAAAACGTGTAAGATCCGTATCAACAAATAAACAACAATGGTTACCTAGGAAACGTCAAGGAAATATTTAGAATAAAGCCAGTATATAAACTCCTTACCGTATAGACGTATTTACAGTACTTGCTTCGGCACCGTGGTTCCACTGACAATTTTTTGCGTATATTTCCGCCCATAACAGTGACACACAATTGTAAATGTTATTTTCTCTTGGTGCCAGATTCTCATACCAGACCTGAAAGCTTTCTGTATTGGAATGGTAGACGACACTAAAGAAGTAGTAGGGAAACTCAACAATGAAAATCCAGCAAATAATGAAGTGGTAAGTGGAGCCTTTACTGTGTAATTGTCTTTGCAGTTATAATTTTTGGGGTAGTAGCCACTAAATACTAAATTTCATTACAATTTATCCACTCACAAAAGAATCAAATTTGTGTAAAATGCATACTATATATTTGTAAACACTAAATAACAAATGCAATGAAGATCCTTGCACTGATATCAAGGATACTGTTCATTGATAGCAAAATTGAAGCTTTGTTACCGAAGGATGTAGATGCAATGATAGGATATTCAGTGAATTTTAATATAAGTTTATTCATCTTGTAAATGTTATTCTTGGTACTTGTGGGTTTATCGGGACACATCGCTTTAAAAATACATTAGGTTAGCTTAGGTTAGGTTAGGTTACGTTAGGTTAATGTGTGTGGATAAATGCCATATACTTGAAATTTATTATATTTTATTTCAATAAATGACAAATTATTATAAACCAAATTTAGTTTCATAGTCTTCGGTCTCACTTAAAGTTACAAAGTGCCAAGTACAAGACTTAATGTTGATCTTTCCACAAATAACAATTTTACGACACAGAAGCATAAATGTTATTTTCTCTTCGCTCCAGATTGCTGTATCAGGCCTCAGAGGTGTGTACGGTTCAACAGCTGCGGTCATAAAAACCTGTCTTCAAAGGGTGAAATTGGTAAGTGTGGATCCCTTACTGGTTGGAATATCTTCACTATTATCACCTTTTGGTTTGTTCATTCTGAATATTGAATTTCAGGAAGGTTATTTCACTCACAACAGAATCAGATGCCTAGAGAAATTTGTAAATGCAGTTATACAGTGTGTCCACAAAGTTCCTTGGGCGTTTTGAAAAATTGTGGCACGCGAACAATTTGAGCTAGCCACATGCGGTTTGCGGCAGATTACAGTGAAACTCTGGAAGTTTTTTACTGACCTCAGTAGGCCTCGATGCGGGCTCCCTTGGTAGCACGGAGAACGTCCAGACGATATTCGAGCTCTTGCCATGTTCTGTGGAGCATGTCCGCTGGAATAGTCGAGATCGCATTCCTGATAGGGGCCTTCAGGTCATCAAGTATGTTAACTGGTGTTCGGAACACATTGTTCTTGACATAACCCCACAGGAAAAGAATCCAGTGGTGTTATGTCTGCTGATCCATCTTCCTGGAAATGTCCTGTCTAGGTACGCGCGTACCTGCAGACCCCAATGAGGTGGATCACCATCTTCCAGAGTTTTACTGTATTCTGCCCGCAAACCGCATGTGGCTAGCTCAATTTGTTTGCGCGCCACAATTTTTCAAAACCCCGAAGGATTTTTGTAAGTTCTGTGAATGCAAAATTTGGCAAAATCTTCCCAGCAATGACAGAGTAGTGTGACATGTGTAAATAAGATTTTCTCTTGTCGACACTTTCTTATACGAGTCTTGAACGCCCTATGCACACCGGTTGTGGCAATAAAAGCTTGTCTTCAAACAGTGCCCTGGAGACCTAGTAAGTGACGAGCCCTTACTGGCTGTAACATTTACACTGTCATAATTTTTGGGGGTTTTGTATGGGCTAAATACCATATTTTATTAATGCTAATCCACTCACAACAGAGTGAGATGCGTGTAAATTACTTTACAATTTTGACGTAAATATGTCTATAAGGAAGGGTCATTCGGCAAAAAAGGAGAATGAAAGTGTAACCTGGTTACCTAGGAAACGTCGTGTTTACTCGGCATTGTTACCTAAGAAACGTTACATTACATTACTCGGCATTGTTGTTACCTAGGAAACGTCATCTGTTTACTCGGCATTGTTGTTACTTATAAAACATTTCATTACCTTACCTTACCTTACATTACATTACATTTCATTACATTACTTTACATTAAATTCAGCTACCACAGACCCATCTTAAGCGTAACTAATCTTTTTTTACTATATATATAAAAATTTGTGATTTCGTCGTTGTCAACCAATTTGTCGTCAAAAAATGACGTCATCAACAATATCACATTATATTTGTTTACTCGGCATTGTTGTGGAACACAACAATGCCGAGTACAAGATAACAATGCCAAGTAAACAAATAACGCTTCACTACCAAGCCAGTCGCATTATCACTGCTCCAGAAGCAGCACGTCGCCACCGAACAGCGACATAAAACTATTTAAGAAATGAAGGAAAGTGAAAGAAGACGTTATCAAGTATTTGAAACGTTATCAACAATTTCAAGTACCAACTCCAACAAGGTAAAGTGATACTCATTCGATATATTACGATTACGAAAACTATTATGAAAACTGACTTCATGATCGATTTTAAGACGAAGATTTGCAAGGGTGGGGCTGGACGTAAAAAGTTGACTGAACAAGAACTGTTGGCGTTTCAAACACTCGACTAACACCC